TACTTTGCCCTAAATTAAAGCAGTGTTTTTAATGATGCACCCTTTGCTTCAGGAACTGAGTGGCCACTTTTTCTGTTGAGCAATGTAACATTTGGGATTGGGTGTGATCATTGTACTAAGTGCTTTTCTCTCTCTCAATATAGAAACTGATAATACTTGTTGTACTAATAAAGTTCAACTTTGATTCTAGGATACTGAGTTGTCTGCGTTCGTATTTCACATTCCATTTAAGGTTAATTGTGTTTTAACAAACCCTAAACACTATCTGGTGGACAGTGGTGTTATCATGACAGCAAATGGAGAATGCCCAGAAAAAACTAACAAGAAAGCAACAATGTAGCCATTGGAGGTGCAGGAGGTAACAAAAACTTTTAGACCCTAATTTAGGTTCTCAGATTAGAAAACATCCATTGTGCATACCAGGGGGGCTTTAGTGACTGAACATGGGTCAATGGGTAGGATAAGTGCTCAATCTCCTGTTGAAAATACTGGACCACATTCTCTTCAGTGCTAATATATTAAGAGCAAGAAATTGACACACTTTTTACTGGCTAAGAGATGCACTTTCAGCCATACTTTTGTGCAGCATCATTGGGAAGCTTATTCTCTATGGCTACCTATGGCTGTATTTAAAAGCAAATTGGTTCAGATGGTAGCAGAGTACACAATTCTCTGACATTCCTAAAATTAAGTGGGATGACTGGAATTTTTTTGATCCGCTATGACTTGGAACTGTCCAAAAGTGACTTAGGGTTGGATTTGTAAAGGCATTTAAATGCCTAAAGATGCAGACCCAGTAGGACTTTAACAAGTGCCTGGGTGCCTAACTGTCACTGAAAATCCCATTATCTGCCTATCTGCACTGTTGGGGAGCCAGCTGCATAAATGAGGAAGGATGACCTGGATAGCAGCCTAAGGTCCTGCCTTGTGAGGGGAGTTACAAAAATAGCCATTGCTTCTTTGTGTGAAGCCACTGTTCAGCAGGCTGAGCTGTCCTTGATGGCTAGAAAATGGTATTTAGAGGTTTGCTTTTGGGAATTGGAGTGTAGGTAAAGTAGTTATTGCATTAGAATAATGATCTAGGGGAATGGCAAGGGTTAATTGGTTTTAAAAAACCTGTTTGTGACAAAGTTTCTTTCAAGGCCCACTATGTCTGAAGCCAGCAGACACAGAGGCTGGGAAACTGAAGACATGTACCATACTGTTCCATAACATGAAATAAGGTGGCATTAGGTCACAGTGCCAAACTGCAGAGCCTTTGGGGTTTCCAGTTTTGGTGAACAGATCAAATTAAGATGTGTGCATGTGATGGGTTTGTTGGAATAAGGGAATATGCTGACAGGACAGAACATGGGCAGTATCATGACTGCAGAGAGACCAATCAATGATGCCCAGAGATGAAAATTCATCAGAAGAGAGAGAGAATACAAAAAGAAGGATTTCAGAGCAGCAAAGTGTCCCTGAGAGGGAAACCTGAGACCACCATGGACAGATGGTCTCAGCCTTGACCTCCAGGCTGACATTCAAGAAAGAACCTCAGGATGAAGCATGCATACTGGCCAGACGTACCTTCCTTCTGTGACAGCTCTAGGACTAGTAGATATAGGATCGTTTGCATTATTCTTATCTACTATCACTGTGTACCAATACTGTTTGCCTATTATTGAATGGAGAGATTGTGGTCAGTCTGAGGGTTTGGGTCCACACGGAACAAGGTTTCGGAGTCATAAATCCAGTGCCAACACCATGTTATGCCTTTGTAGGTACTTAGCTCCTTTTACAGATCTGGCCTTTGCCTACAGGAACAGAGAAAGGGCAGGCAACAAAGCCAGCAGGCACATGATAGTAGTGAAGTATATGTGTTCTTTCCAGGGCACTTCTGTATTCAGCAATATATTGCCACAACCTCTTTTTAAGAATTGGACCTTATTGTGCCAAAAGTGGGCAGATAATGTGATATTCAACAAGATTAGTATCTCAAGAAAAGACACTGCTCAGCATCGATGTTAATTTAAGCACAACAATAATAATATAATAACATTTTGTGTTTCTCTAGTACCTTTAAATCCAATAAATCTTTAATCCAAGATTAACTAAAGCAGACAGGTGTGGGTGTGCTGTCATTTTGGCATGATATTTCTAGAAAGATGTACTTTTACAATATTATCTCACTTTTGAAAATCAGTTTATATTGGCTTGGAAAACGAAAATGAAAACAATGAAAATATTCACAATTGCCCTTTTCCCTTGAGAACATTCAGCTAAGGAGATTTCTGTCTAATTTTCATGTGACAGTTTCTTAAAACAATTTGCCATTTAACAGAGTTACTTTAGATATGTATCACAAATTACTTCAGTGCTGGATCTAGAAGATTGAAGATTGATCCTACACTTCCCAAAACACTTCTACTGGGTGCATCTACACAAGACGCTTAATGACTAATTCTACTGCACATTAGCATGGTTGGCAAAAACTGTGCTAATGTGCGAATGCACAGTAGATTAGTCCAATGGGCATCAAGCCTCACTTAAAAAGTGTTCCATTGCACTAATGCACAATAGTGTTGATTATGGTGCATTAAGTTAGCATCTGTTATTACAGGTATGTAATATGTATCTTTTATCTTAAATCAACAGAAACAGAACTGGTCCTAGAACAATACACACCAATAATTATAGGCAAGGCTGGCAGTGTCACCTATTATTTAAGTTGCCCCACACTGTCCATTATAGCATCCCATTTTCTGTTGTTTATAACTTTCCCAAACTCTAATTATTCAAACTTTTTTAAGCTGGGCATCTATTTCAGGCTGAATTTTTCTTTGAGAAATGCAGCCAAAATGATTCAGTCATTTTTAAAAAGGTGACTAAGAAAATATGCTGTTTACTCTTTGTTAAACATTTTTGGTGCTCTTTTCTTTGACTGTGTCTATAACCCTGATGTTTTGGATCAGGGACTCAATATTTGCTCAGGCTTCCAAGAAGGTATTCAGCCTTGTTCTGTAATAGCTTCTTTCAGCTGCTGCTGGTTAGACACTGGAATTGTCTCTGAATGCAGTCTGAGCTCTGTGGTTCCAAGGCCCGCGGTGGGAGACAAGAATCTCCCAGGCCAGGCCCTACAATTGTGGGGTTGGCACTGGGAGATAAGAATCTCCCAGTGCTGGCCCCATGACCACAGAGCTGGTGCTGGAAGATAAGAATCTCCTAGCCTGGGCCCCGTGACTGCAGAGCTCAGGTTGGGAGATAAGAATCTGCTAGCTTCCGCTCCCCTATCACAATTGGGAAACGGGTTGGGAGCCCTCTGCTGCTAGGGCATGGGAATGTTGTTTCTGCCTGTGTTCCAGTGGTGGAGCCCACCCCAGCAGCAGGCATCTCCCAGGGACAGGGAGAAATTTCCCATCCTCTGCTGTTCAGCTGACTGGGAGTACATTTGCTCCCAGTCAGCTATCTACATGTGCCATACCGCACAGTAAATAATTGAGAGTAAATGTGCTACTTGTATTTACAGGTAGCACATTTACTCGGGATTAGAGAAAATGACTGTGCAGTAAGTGTCTGCATGTGTAGATGGTGATGCTTACAGCTGGTCCGGTTGCTGTGAGAAGGGAACTGCTGATGACTCTCAGAGAAGCAGCAGCAGCACCACAGGGAGGAGCATCACAGGCAGTGGGGAAACAGAAGCAGCAAGCCATGAAGAAAATGTAAGCTGGCATGCTGCTTTCTTTAATTTCTATTTTCTTTTTTTGTGGTTAGAGCCCACTGACTTACTGTGTGTGTGTGTATATATATATATATATATATATTTGTTAATTGATACACTGGTGGTTTGTGGACAAGGTTGTAGGAGAGAAGGAGGCCTCATTAGTGTCTTGAGTGCAATCATAAAAGGCCAAGGGGGTCTGGTGCACTAGTGAGTGCTTTTGGGCTAGGCCGGTGGGGGTTCGGGGCTGCTGGGCCAGTGGGGTTCAGTGGACAGGTTTCTAGGCCAGAGAGCCTGGGCTCCATATGGGAAAAAAAAGGAGGGCCACAAGCCCCAAGATTAAGGAGCTAGAGCCTCGGAGTCAAACCCTATCTGGTGGGTTTAGACTGGTAGGCCTACCTAGAGAAAGACAGGGGGGCAAGTATAAGTATAGAAAAGATGTGGCAAAACAGACATGTTTGAAAACACAATGCCACTTAACACAATACTAGGAAACCAGGACTGGTTCAGGAAAAAAAAAAATCATGTTACTTAGTAATAAACACAGCTTTCTGGTCCCTAGAAGTAGTGTTTGTGTGCAAATGTTTGAATTAACCTAGCTTAAACATACCTTGCTTTTAGAATATAAATAATTACAACACAAAGTTGTGTCTAAACACTGAATCATGCCATTTCAACTCTTTTTGTCTGAGAAATTTAAGTTAGAATATTTTGATGGGGTTCTATAAGAAAATTATTTACACTCTCTCCCCCTTTCATGCCCTGCACAGCTAGTCCCTGATTTTGTCTATCAGGCTACAAGTCACATAAAACAATGTCACTTTCTAGATTTGGTACAGCTACAGATCTACATGTTATTTAACCAGTGTGACATTTATTGTCCTTTACAAAAGCCCCAACAAACTTTTCCAGATTGAGATTCACTTTATTCTGATCCTGTTGGCCATGCCAAGCTAACTGGCCCAGATACCTATCATAGTATTTCCCAAAATTTTGGGGTCAATGGAACCCTCAAAATGTATCATAGACCACTATGCTCACTTATCATCAGCCTTTCATTTTAAGAGGGGATAGGTGGGTGGGCAGGGTAAAAAGGCCTTCTGCACTATGTGGGCCACTTGCAATGGCTTTGAAAACCATTAGCAGCCTGTACCAACAGTTTGGCGACCACTAGACATATTAATCAGATCATCCCTATTAATGCTACAGAGCACAAGACTCTTTACTAAGGTAATTTACTTGGTCAGCAAAATTACTTAAATATAAAACAAAAGGCCTTACTTCCTGTTTTGTGTTTTACCTTGAATAGGTTTCCTTCAGGATCCATCACCTCACAGATTATGTCTGAGGTGTGTTTCATATTGTATATTCCTGCTTGGTGTTCCTCATGCCCGTTGTGAAACTTGGTGTCATCATGAACTTCATGGGAATAAACTGCTGAACAATATTCATCAATGAAAAGGCAACCTGTGCTGAAGGGTAACACCTAGCAGAACAAGCAAGGATGATGGTCAACTGTTTGTAGTTAAATCTTGAGTTCTGATACAGTGTGAAAATGAAGCCCAGAAATGTCAAAGATCAAAGTCTTTGATTTCAGATGCCGATGGCAAAAGATCAGATGGCAAAAGATCAGAGGCTTACACAACAAACTCTGTAATTGTAGTCTCACACTATTATTTTTTAGTTTGTAACAGTGCTGTATATTCACACCCCTGTCTGTGACTCAATTCAAATCACTTGAGCTTTTCATACGAGAGAGAAACTAACCTTGAACAAATTGCAGCCTAGTACTGTGACGTCAAAAAAAGATATCGTACCCATAGTAACGAGATACCAGATTGGCTGAGTTTAACGGAATTGTAAAATTAAATAATATGCTACGCTTGCACTCTTGTGACCAAACAGAACCAGTAGCACCCAAGCAAAAATATAGCCCCCCTTTTATGAAACTTGAGAAAACAAAGATTGCACAAGTGCCAACTTGTTAATTATTCATGCCAGGCGTATTATTATTGGCTATTTTGTTTCCTATAACTTTGAAAGAACTTCCACCCAAAGCGGAGATCTCGGAGCATTCCCAAGAGACACAGTTTTGTAACCTGATCAGTTACAAACAATATCTCCCCGCCTCCAGTTAGTTTTAGTTTTATTTTTTTTTCTTCTGGCGTAACCCCATTCTTGCCGGCTCGTTCTTCTTGTCTTATCTTATCTTTCGTATGTCCCTCTCGTCAAGAGCTCTCGGTAATCTGCAGACCGTAGTAATTTGTATAAACTGTTTGAAACCTGTACTCAGCAAGTCTGCAACCCACTGTAATCGCTGGGTGACAGAATATCTGCATGCTGTAACTAAGAAATCAACTGCTTCTGCCTACGCTGCAAGCCATCAGTAGAGTAAATAAAATAAACTTTCTGTGTAACCAATGCGCTTTAAATCATTTGACTCCTGCTCGCCATTAACACCCGCTTGTCCGGTCATAAATCCCCCCTCGCGCCAAGCCGGTTGTACCGACTCAGGCTCGCAGGTCAAGGATGCACCAGCATCTGGGCGCGACAAGAAAGAAAAAGGAAGACAAATCTGATCTGGATCTTGAGTACTGAATCCATTTTGGAAGGAGTGGAGATGGAAATGGGGAAAGACAAGGTCCAGAAGGAAAACTACTACCAGTCCCTGCAATATTACTTTAAATGAGAACAATTTTGAATTTTCATCTACAGTAAGTGGGGATCCATGGAGTTGTGCTGAGTAGAGGAGGAATGTCCAGATTGTCTAAGACTGGAATCTGAAGAGATAGAATTTTCTAAAGTACATAGAAAAGGAAGATTTGGTCATGGTAAGAGGAGATGAAGGCAAGGATAAGCTGTTCAGAATATATAAACACATAGGCGACTCGTAGGGTGGGCATGTGCTCCCCCTGAGACTGGCTACAGCCACTGATGGCTTTTGTAGGTGATCACCGCTTGCCACCCCACTGCCAAAATTGCTGCACACAAATTGTGCTCCCCAAGTCTTGGGAGGCACCACTTGTTCATGCATAAATATATATTACATTATCATATCAATGCGATTCTCACCTTATATGTTCCTTGTGGCTTTGCTATAATAGATGTCCCATCTCCAAAGATAGTACAACAAATGCTGTCCTCACAGTTTGTTATCACAGTAGCAAAGTCAGGATTCTCCACTCGCATGCACTTTACTTTCCGTATGATGGTTTCTGTGGGTTCAGCTATAAATGAAAACAGGTTAGCCATATGAGCCCACAGCAAATGAACTATGCCTTAGCTTCCTTGTCTTTGGCTGTTGAGCAAGACACTTTGAACTCTTCTTCATAATAATCCCTTCCATTGAAGACAACTGCCCATAAATTGTCAAAGCAATCTAGAATTCTCTTAGGCTCTGCATTGCATTCAGTTAGAACAACAAAAATCCTCACTACCATCAGCAGTGGAACAGGAGAACTATGCCTAACATGTAAACTGGACCACTGAAATTTTTTGTATCTTGACTGGAAAAGCACCATGCTACGACAGTGATATCTTGTTTAGACATGTAGCAACCCACCTTCCCATCACCTAAGGCACAACTACCAAAGACATCACCCTGCTATGTCCTTCTATTACAGAATCATAGAAAAGTAAGGCTGCAAGGGACCTCTAGAGGTCATCTAGTCCAGTCTCCTGCCAGAGGCAGATCATCCCTGTCCAAACCATATACAAATACCCCTCTAACCTAGTACTAAAACTACACAGTTAACCCTGTCATACAAGCACCCTAACCTGCCACAGGTAAAGTGGGGGGACAATGATGGCTAGTGTCTTGATGCTGCAAGGGCTGTTAAATATGTTTGAGAGCCAAGAAAGACAGCCATGCCTCTTGCTATGGAGGAAGATATACCCCCCACAGTCTATACCAATCTGAGCACAAAGTAAAAGTACTTAGTGACCCCAAATGTGTTGATCAGTCTGATCATGAGTGGAAGCAAGACCATCTATCCAGGAACCTCTGAGTTGTAGTCCCAGAAGGACCACTGCCACATCCCAGTCACCTTTGGTGCCTGCCACTTTAAGTGCAGCAAACAGGTAGCAACCAGGTGCCTGATGAGGGCAGCCATTTTGGCCCAGGGATATAAGCTGGGCTGCAGTTTGCTGCAGGAAGGAAGGAGGAAACATTAGGCTAAGAGGCTATTCTGCCCAGAGTCAGGAGGTAAGGGCAGGAGCTACAGTTGTACAATCCTATCCTATGTGCCTGTTGCACAACCAGACTGAGAAGGGCTATGGGGACTGTCCACAGGGACCACGAAAATTTGCCTGGGCAGCCCCTGGCACAGATAGCTGCTAGCCAAGCCCTCCATCCCTGCTCCCTCTGTGGGGGCAGGTGGCCCACTTGGTACTTGCCAGAGGCAGTCAGCCTTCCCAGTCCCCTCCCCAGGCTGGGCCAGGGATGGCTCTTGGCAGCAGCTGCCACGGCAGCTCCAGACCAACTCCCCCACTTCTGCAGGCCAGGCAGTTTCTTCCCATGGTGCCAGGCCTATGCCAGCTGGGGTTGTAGGGTGAGGGCCTCCCATCTGGCTGGGACACATAGCTGGTGATGCTGCCACTCTCTCCTCTGGTGGGTCTCTCTGGAGAGCCATCCCATAGGGGGTTGCCAATTCTGACTGAAACTATTCCAGATTTTTTCCCCCCAACTTGATGTAATGTCATTATTAGGGGTGCACCAACAGATTTTTTTGGTCAATACCAATAGCCGATTTTTAACGATCCATATTGGCTGATACCAATCCAATTGCTAATATGCAGCTGGGCAGCTTGGAGAGCAGCATCCGGCTGGTAAGTCTGTTGTGGGGGAAGGGGAAAGGGGGGAGGGAAGGGGTATGGGGGGGAAAGATCGAGGGCCTCACAATGAGGGAGGGAATAGGACTCGGGCAGGGTCAGGTGCTGCACAGCTGGGGTGGAATGCAGGATGATGCCACGAGTGGCTCATGTGGGGGGGCTCCGGGGGAAGGTGCAGCTTCCGCTGCTACATGGTCCCCGGGAGGGCATGGGGGCATGTGCCCCTAAGTCTGCATGCGGGGAGAGGGTAGGATGCCACTGCAGGCTGGGGCCGGGGTTGCACCAAGCTTTTCCAGGCTGGGGGCTGGGCTGGGTTGCTCTTGGGGCGGGCAGTGGTGGCACTGGAAAGAGGGTATGGGGGGGCTTCTGCTACCCCAAAATTCACCATTAGCCCCCCACCCAGTGCCTCCACTGTCCACACTGAGTACAGCCCTGGCCCAACCCCCCAACTGGGAAGAGCCCAGCATTGCCCCCAGCGCGAGCTCACAGTGGCAGTCTGCCCTGTGCCCCCCCAGAGGAGCCGCTCATGGCTCCATCCTGTGCCCCACCCCAGCAATGTAGTGCCTGCCCCTGCCCCAGCCCCACTCCCTCCCTTACCGCAGGGGCCTCAATCTTCCCCCCTATGTCCCTTCCCTCACAACAGACTTACCAGCCAGGCCCAGCTGCTCTCCATGCTGCTGGGCTGTGCTCCTGGCTGCCTGTGTACTGTACTGTGGCAGTGTCCATGCATGGGGCATTTATCAGTGACATTATTGGCCACACCAACCAAAAAAAGCCATTTGCCAATACTGTCAATCTTCCTCATATCAGTACTGATCTGATATGGGACTGATGTATCAGTACACCTCTACTCATTAATTGTACTGTTCAACCCGTTCACAATATCAATCTCCAGGATTGCTTTCAATAGTCACCAGGAGATCAATTCTGATTCTGGTAGACTCCCAGTCAATCCAGGAGGGTTGGCAAAGCTATCCCCCTTCCTCCCCGCCCCAGTGCATGGCCTGCACTCCAAGCATGCTCCTGCTGAGAGTCCCCATGGCACACCATGACAAGCTGTTTGAGAGCACTGAGGGGTGCCTGGCCCACTACTCCCTGCTGCTGCTAATCACCATGGTGTCCTGGGCACAGCTGAGAACCTCGTGTGGGGCTCTGAGCTTTGACAACACCCCAGGCAAGCCTGCACTTCCCTTCAATGTGCACTGCCTAAAGGGCTATCTGTGCCTACATTATGAGTGCCTGACCCCTGTGGCCAAGGAGAAGATTGCTGCTGCCATCAATGAGTTTCTCTGCCTGTGACAGGCCCTTGGTTGCCTAGCTGGGAAGGTGCTGGCTGCTCAATAAAATTTTGAACTGCATCCTGCCTCCTTGCATACTGTGGGAGGGAACTCTGGGGGCTAGGGGGGAGCTTGGCCAGTAGGGTGGGAAGGGGGGACAGAAGCAGGAAAGGGAGAGATGGCCCCCCCATGCAGGGCCCCTGGGTCCAGGTGTACAACTTGGAGGCAGGTGGGAGAGCTGCTGTGGGCATAGATTCATAGCTTGTAAGGCCAGGAGGGACCTTGGAAGATCATTGGGTCCAGCCCCCTACACCAATCAGGAAAGATAACTGGGGGTCAAGTGACCCCAGCAAGGTGACTGTCTTGTCTCTTCTTGAAGATTTCCAGGGTAGGTAATTGCAGCACCTCTGGAGGGAGCTTATTCTACAGTTTGGACACCCTGACTCTGAAGAAGTTTTTCCCAATGTTGAGCCTGAATTGGTCTTCCAGGAGTTTGTGGTCATTACTCCTAATTTTCTCCTTGGGCGCCCTGGTGAACAGTTGCTCACCGAGCCCTAGATGTACTCCTGTAATGTAGCAATAAGCTGCTACCGGGTCCCCTCTCAGCCTTCTTTTTATCAGGCTGAAGAGTCCCAGATACCTCAGCCTTTTCTTGTAAGACTCTGATTAGATGGGTGGCTTTTCTTTGGACTCTCTCAAGCTTGTCCATGCTCTTGTTAAAGTGTGGTGCCCAGAATTGGATGCAGTGCTCCAGCTGTGGCCTCACTAGTGCTGAGTAGAGTGGAAGAAACACCTCCTTGGTTTTGCCGGAGATGCATTGATTGATGCATGCCAGAGTATTATTTGTCCTACTGGCTACAACATCGCACTGCCGGCTCATATTTATACTGTGGTCTATTATTACCCCCAGGTCCCTTTCATTTGTAGTGCTAGTTAGTTTGGTGCTGCCAAGCCTGTCGGTGTGTTGGGGGTTACTCATCCTGAGTTGGAGCACTTTACATTTCTCAGTGTTGAACTTCATCAGATTCCAATCTGCCAACTTACTAGCCTGTCTAGGTCCAATTGTATCTGTAACTTATCTTCAAGCCTGAAAAAGCTTCCCCATAACTTGGTGTTGTCTGTGAACTTGGCTAGTGAGCTCTTCACCCTGTGGTGGCAGAGCCTGATTGGCCATGGCAGCAGTTGGGCTGAAGCTCTCCCATGGTGACCCAGAAGCACACCAGGCACGTCCAGGGATGCCGGCCCCAGGATGAGCCTGGCTAAGAGGAACCTGCTGGGCCTGGCAGAAGGGGCAGAATACAGTGGCAGAGTTCAAAACTTGACCGGACATGTTGGAGAGGGAGGAAGTGAATGCAGTGGCTCCACAGTAGCTACACACTGGAAGGCAGGCCCTGGCAGGGGCAAATGGTGAGAACTGCAGCAGCAAGTGGCTCTCACTGGAGCCAGCTCAGAGGAGCTGGATCACTTGCTGGAGAGCCGAGACTGGGCCTCGGCAATGATGACTACTGGATACAGGCCAGGATGACCTGCAGGCAACATAGTGTAGCTGTGAGTACTGGGGCTGAATACTGAGGAAAGAAAGCTGAATTCCCCTAGCTTCAGTATGTGACTAGCAGTGTGAGAAGGACTTTTAAGCTCCTGAGTAGGAGAGGGAAACAACCGGCATGATGGATTGCGTATACTTTCATGACAGTGCCAGGAAGAGACTATTAAAAATTCTGATTGAACGTTATTTTCCTGTGTTGTCATCTGGGAGGTGCTAGGCAGTGTATATGGGAGGTGGAGCCCCAAAACACAGGACCTGCAGTGTCTGTGTGGAGGCTATATGAGGATAAAGATGATCAACATCTCTATTTTTCATGCAATGTCAAAGTTGTGGCAGGAAAGAACTGATATAGCACCCATGCAGATGCCCTAGCCAGCAAGCTGACTATGCATCGGAGAACGAATATCCACTCTCCATGCTAGGGGTCCCAATGGTCATTGAAGGACACACATGTGAGATTACACACTCCCACATCCAGATAGTTAATGAAGATGTTGAAAAATACTGGACCAAGCACCTACCCCTGCAGGATACCACTGCCCACTTCTCGCCAGAATGACACAGATCCATTCAC